GAGCTAACTCAAAAGACTCGATCTAGATGAACTCACTGTTTCTTACTTTTTCTGTTGTGAGACACAAATACCAGTCACCCACAGTCTTGAATTTTTTAAAGGGTCTCAACTAAGCATTCCAAATGGGGTGTGTTCATGCCATATCTGATTACATGTGCCTTCAGTGTGAAACTAGACCCATTTTATCTAAATAGACACTCAGAAACTATAGCTCTGATTAATGTTATCATTTAAAACACATATTGAGCTTATAGCAGATAACAGCACTTGAGAAAAGTCAGTGTGTAAGAATAAACTATATAATAAATGGGTTCCAACTGGACTGAAAATATGCCCAGAAACTGCTGGGGATAAGGGCAAGTGCAGTGGTTCTGAATGTTTTAGTTAAATGTTCTGGGGAAAAACTTGCCAGATTAATTACCCATGATTATCATTCACTCTCAAGAAGTTTGCTTGGATGCATCATTTTTACTGAAAGTGAAAGGACTCATGTTTAGCTACTTACAGATGTATATAAAGAATTAAGTTATTTGCTGTGGATTAAAGAACTTAAAGAGAAGCACCAGAATATTAGAGCTGGTGATAGATGGTGAATGCTTGTCTTCAGTGCCCACCGAGGACAGTGTCAGATTTAGTCTGTACTGGGGCAGGGTGGGGGGATTTAATATAAGTCTGTCCTTAATCATCATCATCATCATCATCATCATCAGCTCCAACAGCATGGCAGAGTGGGAAGATACAGGCTTTGGAGTCAGACAGCCCTAAGAGGACAGTTCAGCTCCACCCTGTCCTAGCTGTGTGATCTTGGGCCCCTTTCTGAGCCTGTTTCCTCAACTGTGAAACGAGCCTCCTTTGCAGGGTCGCCCACAAGAATGAAGCAGGAAGGACACATAGAGCAGCTGCTCAGGCCTGGCTCATGGGGAGCCTGGACTGTAGTTGTTATCACCACTTCAGCACCACAGGTCTTATTAAACATCTGAAGGTCATCTGGCCCTGAGACAGATCAGTGAAGGAGATCTTCAAGGAAAGGAAACAATGAACTAGGTAATTATTTATGTGTGTGTGACTAGAGGAGTGGGCTTGAGAGGCCCAGGTATCCTGGTAAAGACAGAGCCCATCCTTATGTGTCTGCATTTCAGTGCTGGGCACCCTGTGCATGCTTCATTTTTATAAGAGTTCCAGAAAAAACTCTTGAGTTGAGTGATATCTGCTTAAAAAGAGGCTCTTTCCTTGCCAGAAAAAGAGCAGCTGATCACAGTCCCGGTTACTATGTACAGTTTTGTTCTTGACATTTTAAAAGATCCAGAAAAGAGCTTCAAAAGTTCATCCAAAAGTGGATAGAAGGTAGGTGGTGGGAAGAAAGGCTTTGAGCGAGCTAGAGTCATTCACTCCAGAGCAGAGAGTCAGACAGATCTCAAATGCTTGAAGTGTTACAAGCACGCTGGTACAGCTCTCTTCCTTTCCTCTTCATCCGATAGAAGGACTCACGTAAATACTTTTTCTTAGATGGATGGATGATTTCCTTTCTTGAAGGAAAGGGGCCAACTAGATGAACTTTTGAGATCTTTTCTAGTTCTAAGCCTTTGCACGAACATCAAATACAAACCCAGCTCACCACCGTGTGGCAGCTTCCAACTGCTTTCCATGTAAAATGAGGCTGAGTCAGCCTGGTGCAGGGCACAGGGTGGGAAGCAGGAGTCAGGCGGTGCTGGATTTGAATTTGCCTCTGAGACTCACTGGTGGGCCAGTCATGGTAGTAAAAGAACTCAATACTTTCCAAATTGTAGCATGGAGATCATCTCTGCCTCCCAGGGTTCCTGAAAGGACTAACTAAACTAATGTTGGCATAGCACCTAATACATTGACTGGCACATAGTAGGCCTTTGATAAATCGGAGCTATTATTCTAGTTGGCTAAAAAAAACCATTGAAAACAGTTGCCTTTAACTCATGAAGAGAGCAGTGACATTGTGGTTACAGGTATACCATGCTAGGAAAATTGCAAATTCAAGTTGGCAGTCCCCTTACCACTGAGACCCCCTTGACCCACAGAATGTACTATGCAAACTACAGCTTGCCCATGCTAAAGAATGTTTGAGGTGCAACTTATTAACTACCTTCATGCTAAGAAGCAGAGGGAACTGAAGGCAAGGTCAAAGACATCTTGGTATGAATCTGGTTTCTTTCACTGTCACCACAAGAATCAAATTAGTTATTTTTAAAAGGTTCCAAATACATTTCCAAGTATAGGGAATATATTCCACATGCCTCAGAATTTATGTCTGTGCACATCCCACTGACTTGTAATCCATACCAAGTATAGTAAAAATGTCAAAAAACAGGTTTGCAAACCAAACTGACTGTCAGAAACTGTAATTATGATTTTTCTCCTTCATGAATGATAGAAAGCTAAAAATGGAAGTCATTAAGAAATTTATCAGATCTCTTACAGCAATGAAATGTACTGGTCAGAACCCAATACTGAATAAAAGAATTCTTAGTGCTATCAGATTTTTCCACAAAACATAACTTTTGGGTGCTCCATCCATATGGTATTACATATTTAGCATGTACAGAAAGATGCTGGAATTCAAGACACAGTAGCTCTGGGCTTTGTTCTTTACCAGAGGTGGGGGCTGGGGAGAACTGGAAAAGGCAGAGTAAACTCAAGGTACAAAACACGTACACAAGGTGAGGCCCTGAGGAGAACATGGCCAGAAACCTGGAGTGTCTCCTGAAGCCACTCTGTCGCTTGGGGAATCAAAATTGGCTTGGGGAGCATTTCCTGTTTTCATCAAAGGGGGAATGGGTTGGGCTGGCCCCGTGGCTCACTTGGGAGGGTGCGGCGCTGGTAGTGCCAAGGCCGCGGGTTCGGATCCTCTATAGGGATGGCCGGTGTGCTCACTGGCTGAGCGTGGTGCAGACGGCACTGTGCCGAGGGTTGCAATCCCCTTACCAGTCAAAAAAAAAAAAGGCGGGGGGAAATAGGTTACAGTTAACAGCACTGAACCTTCCAGACAGGAGAGCAGAACAATGTGCTTTGAAGCAACAGGAAAGAGCAGCTTATTTTTGTTGGGAGTGAATACATGCAGGCATGACATGTTGTAAGATGACTCGAGTGACATCAGGGAGCTGGACGGGGCCCAGGTAGCTCTATTGAAGGCCATCGTGCTGCTAAATAAAACTAAGCAGGAATTTCATGTGCTAATGAAGCAGCCCTTCTATTACCATGGTACAAGTTTTATATCAGGGGGCCACGTTAAAACTCATTGTTTCAAATGCATACATCTCAAGTGGCACTGAACCACTGAGCTGTTGAAATAGTCAATAGAGTCTAAACCCAAATATCTCAGTAAGCTCCTCTTCAGGCCCATCATTTTCACCACACCTTCTGAGAAGTGGGGTTACAAGAAGTCCTTTGAAATCGATTGCTTCTACCCTTAAGAGGGTACTTCAAGAAATTCATGGAAAGATTCACATTATCTTTTAATTCTATTTTCCATGAACTTTTTGAAGTACCCTTGTACTTTGCTTCCTTAAAACTGTACATATTACAAACCTGACTACATAGTACTTATATGCAGGTTCATTTGTTATTATTTTTTTATACAGAGAACAATGGACAAAAAAAAAAAATCCAAAATGGCAACTAAGATAGCAATCAAGAACATCACAGAAAAAACAAAACAAAACAAAAAAAAAAACCCAAAATGGCAACTAAGATAGCAATCAAGAACATCACAGAAAAAAACCACAAAAATCCCAGGAAAAAATCCAAAATGGCAACTAAGATAGCAATCAAGAACATCACAGAAAAAAACCACAAAAATCCCAGGAAATTCAAGGAGAAGAAAAGTATCTACAATGCTGGATACTAAGTTCAAAAGTTCTTGTTACCAAAGGGAAACTAAAATCATGTTTTACTTCCATATACCTCTTTCTGAGTCCCTTTGAATAAACTGCTGTAAATCACAGATTGTTTGCGTGCAGACTACTTTCCAGGAGTAGAGCAAACCCTTTCAGCAGTGTACTTAGTATTTTAGATCACTTGCATAAATGTCAATAAAAGTCTGTTAAGAGAACTATTGGCCTGAAGAAATAAAGTAACTTTCAGAAACGTTTATCTCAGTACCAAGGAATAACTCATGTGTTCTGTGAGATAACATGTCTGATGTTAAGAATGGATGACTGAGCCATGATACCTAAATTCTAAACTTAAAATGAAATGTGTTAACTGACAATTAAATGGCAAAAAATGATCTGCCTTATCCAGATTTTAATAGCTATAACCCATTCACTCAGAGATACTTTATGGTGTGGTGACAAGTAGAAGTCGCTAAATACTTCAAGGCACTTTGACCATGTTCCTACCCATATTTCTGTCTTTCTAGATTAATCTTCCCTTTACTGGATTTTTCCTTCTTCTTCTTCTTTTTTTTTTAAAATGAAAAATAGACACTAGTGCTTCAGTTCATTTTGGAAATATGCCTTGTGAAGGACTTCAGAGATATTTTTCTTTCTTTTTAAAAATGACCTTCAAATAAAAATAATAGACTTTTCAGATAACTCAAAGCCCAAAGCAAATAACATCAGACTCTGCTAATATTGTCATGAAAAGACCAAAGAGATCTTCTGATGTAGGGTGGCCAAGTGCTAAAATATCTTAAAACATTCCAGCAGAAGGCAGATATACAGAAGGAAAACAGCAGTCAGAGTAGCCCAAGGCTGGAGGGCACGACAGAATGCTCCTCCAGCAAGCTTCCCAGATTAAGTAGCACTGGTTATTTTAAACAAGGTACTTCCTGAGTGGCAAAGCAGACTCTGCTTTTCTTGACATCAGGAAACAATACCATCTTTTTCTCTTCTTTTCTTAGACACAGTGCAGAACCCAACACATTTCAAGGCCATGTGATGTGGTTTTTGTAGATTTGTGAACCAGCTGCTGGTACTGAAAATGAAACTGTACTCAACCTCAACTGCACTGTACTAGTCTTGCTTTACCTGCCATATGCAAATCGCCTGTCTTTGTGATGATCTCCAAAAGTATCCCAAAGCCTGAGAGAAACGCTCACTTCATCCACAACATCCCGGGAACGCTCCAAGACCTGCAGGAGAGAGAGTACCTGTGCTCAGTGCTAATCAGAGGCCCCCCCAGAGAAGGATGTCCCAGTCAACCCCCCTCAATGCCCCTTAATTCACTTGCATTTAGTCTTCTTATTCCATCTGAGGGGACTTAAGCTAAATCCTAGTTCTCTTCCTGGAATCCCATGACTCAAACCCTCGCTCAGGATACCACAGCCCTACTTGCATTTTGCTTTTGTTTTCTCTTGTGGCACTGAAAAGGTTAGTTTTGTTTTGCATGAACAATGTATCCAGCTTCCTCTTAAAAAAAAAAAAAATTCAAATAGGCAAACAACAACACTGTGCCATAAGCATTCTAAAGCAACTCTGCGTCTTACCTCCTGGCAGACTCGGTACTGGTCGATCGCCCACACGGTTGGGACATGGGTTGCCAGCAGCTGATACTGCGTTAGCGTGGTATTGCACGCTCTGGCGCAGATCAAGCGCGTCTTCCCCACAGCGTTGTCGCCCACAACCACACACTTGATGGTTTCAACGTTGGGTCTTTCGTAGTCCATGTCAGTGTCCATTTATAAAACTCTATAAGAGGAGAGTGGATACCACATTAAAGACACCAAGGCTTTACGGAGCCATCAAGCACGTGAGGGATTTAGGCAGTTTTGCAAAGCTTTGTCCAGCCACTTCTTTGAAGGTGCCCAAGCAACAGTCAAGAAGTTTGGAAGTAAATACTGAGCCAAATTGAAACTCAAGTTTTCTTTTTATATCTCACACAAGTACAAAAACATCAATTGTTATTTTTGACCCCAAATGGTTTATTCCAGTTGACGTGTTATTTTCTCCTTGGTTTTCTCTAAACACAACCTGCCGACTGGAGATTCATCCAGGCACTGTCCACTGGGACAGGTGGTGCACATTTATAGCTCACTAGCTATCACACTGACCCGCTAGTGGGGGTTAACTTTCAACACTGGGATATAAGCAGCTTGGCAGTACTAGTGTCCACCCCATCACGAGCTTCCAACAATCTGATATCTGTTGTTGAAAAGTAGTTTTCCATAAGTTCAAAACTATTATGGTGACCCAGAGGAGAATCAAAAGTGCAGGCTGAAAGACTACCTGACTTTAATAGAGTAGACTATAAGTCTGAATTTTGATATATTATTCAACTTACATTTATTCATTTATTTATTTATATTAATCAAATTTATAAAAAAAGATATTAAGAGGGTCCAGTATAAAACAAGATTTTTTTTAAAAAAGTTATCTTCCCCTCTGTATTTTTAACAAGAAATCTGGAGCATAAGGTAAAGAATGATTTTACCAGGAAGAGGAGCTACTTTGGAATCTTCCTAAAACTATCAAAGAAGGTTTAAAGAGGGTTGCTGAGTGAGGGGTCAGGAGGAAGAGGAAAAGCTGCTGCCAGCTCAGCTTCCCCAAGGCCAGGACCCTCCACAAACTGGGGACCGGACTGCTTACTGGTAGCAGCGGACAGAGGACCAAGCATGTAAGATTTTAAGATTTTAATGAATTGTAATAGCCTGTTTGAGAAAGTCTATTGTTAAACTGAGAATACTAGTTAGGTGGTTATTTTTAAAGAGTTGGTAATGATTTTAACAGCCACAGTAAAGAAACTGTTCAGAGTAAAGCCTGATACATAATTGAGACTTAATGTGTTTGTTTAATTCAACTGATTTGAGAAAAACAATAATTTGGATAACATGAAATTAAGGGCATAGGCAAAGAGATATAAGGAAGACTATTAAGAGAAATACTTCTTCACAGTTAGGACTGTCTGAACACAGAATCATCTCAGAAAGTGAAGGGTATGGAATTGTCAACTGTAACGCCATCACAGAAGGTGTTAAACCCAAGGCTGGAGAAGGATTTGGCAGGAATGGAGTGGAGTGATTCAAGGAACAGATGTGTGGTTAGGTTAGGATTTGATCTGTGGTTCCTAACCTGGAGTGAGTCTCAAATTAGACTGACACCTGTTCCCTACCTGGCAAATGCTGATTTTGAATGTCTTGGGGGAAGGGAAGAGAGTCTTAAAAAAATCTTGTTATAATGATCAGCCAGGTGTGGTAACTCCTAAAATCGATCTCTTCAAAATTTTGCCTTAAACATAGTCTGGTTTCTCTTCAGATCACGTAAATCTTTCGCCTTTTACTAAAATTTTGTGTTAAAATTCCATGGCCTTATTAGTTCCCTGTCTAATAGCATAATGTAGCAAAAGCATGCATTTGGCTTTGGATCAGTGGTTCTTAAACACCCCCAGGGAACGTTTGGCAATGTGTGGACAACTTTCGGTTATCACAGTCAGGGGGCGGGGTGGGAGGTAGATTAGAAGCTGCTGGCTTCTAGTGAGCAGGGGCTAAAGATGCTGATGTTGAATGTACTGCAGTGCATGGGACAGCTCCCCACAACAAAGAAGTACCCGGTCCCAAATGTCAAGGTGCTGAGGCTGAGAAACCTTGCCTTAGATGGATGTGAGTTTAAGTCCTAGTTCCCCGACTTCCCAATCATTTGACTTTGGGCAAGTTGTTTGTACTTTCTGGGCCTCAGCCTCCTCATCTGTATAAATGGGAATTACAATAATACCCATCTCCTAAGGTTGTTGTGAACTCATGTTTTAAGTCCCCAGTGCAGGACCTGACACACAGATGACTTCAAAAATTATAATCCAAACGCCTTTAGATGTCAACAAAATTCAGTCAGGTGGAAGGCCAGAATTAGATGCAAAATCATAAACTTAATAATGACAAAGATTATAAAAAGGAGAAATTTTAGTAGCGCTAATTAAAGGGTAACTCACTAAAAATAGAACAGGAATACAAGATAGAACACAGCTGACCTTAAGCAAAGAAGGCAGAAAAAGTTTTGGGTGGGGAGGGAGGACAGAGAGGTCATGAGATTATGATAGAGTTTGAAAGCAAGGTTAAAAATATTTTTATGGGGCATTTCTAGATTTCAGAATAAAAATGGTAACACTTCTTAACATTCCTTGACAAGTTTCTGGTGATGTTACCAGGGGGCAGCCTGAATCAGAAAAACAGGCTCCATTTGGAGCCTCACAACTTTGGAACCCAGGGTCCATTATTCGGAATGTTCTAAGTCGTGGAAAATGTTCTTACTCTTCTGAGGGTGAATTTAATTTTTTAGATAGATAAACATCATAGAAAGCCACGCCCTAACATTTGGGGGAATGTCTGAACTTAGTCAAAATTAGATAGGAAATGAAAAGCATAGAACTGGTTTTCTTGCTGGCTTGTAAAACCAGCTCTGTTAGCAGCCCCCCAAGAGAAAACCCCCAAATAATCTGAATCACAGCAGCATTGATAGAGTGACTGTGCAGCTTTTACAGAAGACCACTTTGAGAGGGACAAAGCCTTCCTAGTTTTGTATTAAGGCTATGATTACATAAACTATCATTACCTCACTTATTTTTAGACACACTGCATGCACAGTCCTAAAAAGAATTTCTGTGTCAAAGGGGACAAGAACATCCACGGGTTCTCTAATCCCTAGCAATCTGCTCAAGACCAAAGAGACTGCCAAAGGTGCTGGACCTTGTGCAAAGGGGATAACATGTAAGGGAAAATAAAAGGCAGGGCAGAATTAAATATTCATAACCCAGGTCACTTGCTGCAGATATGGAATTTCCAGGAAGCATTTGCTGAATTTCCAAATACTGAAAATCTTTCATTTGGGGCAGAAATTTCTTTTGTGGTAATCTAAAAAGCATTTTAAGAATGTTTAGTCACAGCCACGGATGTAAACTCATGCTATGCCTGTACTGTTGTAGATCAGTTGTTCATCTGTTGCACATAAACAAATAAACATTAAATTATGGTAGTAATTATGAAAATATGCAATTTTATCCTTCTTCGCTTGTTATAGGCTCTAATTTATTCATATCTAGCACTCTTATGGTTGAGTGAGCTCTTAGGACCATCTGGATAATGACTATCCGGTTTCTGACTTTTATTTACCTAGACTGAGAGTAATAAATATTACTCATTTAACACTGTTAATAAATGTCATCGCCATAAATCCTGCTGATCTATGTACACCCCCTTGCCTTCAGATACATACCTGGAGACAAAGAAGATGTCTCCTTCCTTGAAACAGAAAAGCTTGAAAGCACGGACAGGGGCAACTTGTTACTATGGCAGCTTCATCTTACTACTCAAAACTGACTTGAACTCCATTTGATACTCTCACAGAATCCTCAGGACATGGATACTGATAGTTAAAAAGCTACCTGAAGAATCTGCCTGTACTCTATCAGAAGTGTTAAGTTTATCTGAAAACTGGCCAGTGAACAAGAAAAAGAGGAGGTTGAGAGTGAAGGGCTCGGCAAAGTCATCCTGGGTGCCCACCACCCACAAGGCTGACTTAGAAAAGTGTGATCATGATTGTCACGGTCCACAGAATCACCCCATCGGTGTGAGTATCCCCTTCCTGCCCCACTACTATCACTGACATCTGCTGCACCTCAGGCCTCTCCTCCACATGCACTGCCCACTTGGCATCTTCTTGTGCCGAAGGGGGATGCGTCCCACATCCTAGCTTTGCCATGTCTTCCCTTCCTCAGTGACAGTGACCTTTTCCACTCTTTACTTGAGTCATTCATCCTTCTGGCTGTGTGCTGAATATTGTCATCCAGAAACATTTTACCTCTGAAATCTTGAATTTCAAAATCCCACTCTCAGAGCAGAACTCCTATCTTTATAGCCAGTGCTAGAAGAAATAAGGCCACTGCAGCAACTCCCATCAGGAGGTGGGATCTATTTCCTTCCTCTTGAATTTGTGCTAGCCTTGTGACTAGCACAAGCCTGGCCTGAAAGAACGTGGTGGGGGTGATGCCGTGAGGGTTCCAGAGTTCCACCTTTATGCTGTTGGAATGTTGCCCTGAGGCCACCATGGAAGGAAGCTGGCCTAGCCTGGCAGAGGATGAGAATTCACAGTGAGAACTACAGAGGCAGCCCCGCCTATGGCCATCACTGAATGCCAGATAACGTGAGGCCATCTCAGATCTTCCAGCCCAGCCCATCCTCCAGCTGAACGTAGCTTTATGAATGAGCCCAAGTGAAACCAGCAGGGGAACACCCAGCCAACCCACAGAATCATGAGAAATAACAAATCATTGTTGTTTTAAGCTACCAAATTTTGAGATGGTTCATTATGTAGCAATAATTAACGGAAATGCACCCATTGTACTTTAGAAAAATCTCCAGAACCTTAACTGCTCCGTTTAAAAAACTGTATCAGGTGAAAGGTCCCTCTTGGGAGGAAGATCTTTTCCACCTAGGATAGACAGGTCACGACAACTTTCCCCTTCACCATCGCCCTACATTCCCTGCATTGCATGTGGTAGGTAGAATAATGGCCTCCCAAAGATGTCCGTCTCCTAACCCCTGGAACCTGTGAATATGTTGTTACGTGGCATGGGGGAATTAGTGTTGCAGATGGAATTAAGGTTGCTAATCAGCTGATCTTAATATAAGGAGATTATCTTGGGTTATCTATGTGGGCCCAATGTAATCACAAGAATCCTTTAAATGTGGAAGAGGCAGGCA